TACAGCCGCCGAAAAAAATATAGTAGCTGCTGGTGGCAAAGGCTGAGTTGGAGAAGATGAAGATGAAGTAGATGGCGTTGTAGGGCGAGAATGTGCCAGGTGCATTAATGGTTGATGGTTGCTCGTTAATCAAAGATGGAAGAGGATCGCTACTTAGCCCTATGGTACTGAGCGCGACAGCTGGGACTCGGAAGCATGAGTTAGCATTTTCTACCACATCAAACTCCCCCATAGTCCCCGGTTGGTGTAGCTATCTCAACAGATTGGGCATTCTGTTGAGTTGATGAAGATCGTCGTCCTCTATGTAGAGAAGCCCCATCATCATTTTCTTCTCCATCACCATCGATCACCATGGTTTCTAGGACCAGTTTGGGCACGACGCTTGTCACCACAACATCTGAAGATAACTCAAGTTTGCGCTCTTTTACTTTTGATTTGTTCCCCCGACCGCGAATGAGCTTCTCCTTTTTTGTTGCTTGTTCTCCGGCCAGGGACTCCGAAAAGAAGCACTTGTACTAGAAGCAGGCCTGAAAATACCTATTTTCATAAAAGCTTTGTGCAGCAGCCTCGTCGCATCAATAGGATCACCCAAAACATCCTCTTTAGGGACAACAAGTAAGCTCTGGGGTAGACCTGAATTCAACAAAGGAAAAAATGGGTAAACAACTTCCTTACATGAAAGGGAAAACGAGATGAGTTTTACTTACTATGATTTTTAGACTTCCATCCATATTTGAGGGTTAATTCCTTCCAAGTACGGGTTTCTTGCGTACTGACATCCAAAATCTTTTGGACCCACTGGTCCAAACCTTCAACTCGTGGTAGAACCCACTAAGTTGCTGAAACAAATAAAAGAGAGGGAACAATAACGGCATGGGATGATCTTTAACTAGAAGAAGGGATAAAAGATGGACTTACGAGCATGGTTCCACAACTCCGGAAAGGATGACGCCGTGGCCGGAATGATGTCCTTGGTAGCAACTGCAACAAACTGTTCCATCCACCCACTATCATTGTCATTATCCAGCTGGCCAATAGAGCATGGTGGACACGTTTGCTGAAGTTTATCATTCCCCCGTGAAAAATCTTGGGGGAATAGAGATTCATTAACCGAGCTAGGGTTAGCTCCTCTCCCATCTCCTGGAACAAACGCCGAAGACAAGCGATTGTCTTACATACAAAAGGACTTACCTATGCTAGGCTCACTTGGTAGCAGATGAAAAATTCCACAATAACAGAATCAAGCTCCCCACTCAAAGAGAATGGACTCAAAGTAAAAGGATGCGCATAAAAATATGTGAAACCCTTCTTGGGGATGGTTATTCGCTCCGCCAGATCGGGAGCGATAATGTCTAAATCCTGACAATGACAATCTTCCTTCACAACAGGAATACTGGAAGGACAGATTGAAGAAGGGTATCTACCAACGACCTATGTACGGGGGTTAGAAGAAGGAAACATCTCTTCAAAATCTTTGGTGGTAATCAGGTTCTTTGGGATGATGGTACTCACCGTAGGGGGAGAAACATCATCAACTTTGCCTTTGTTCTATGAAGAAATAGGTTTTCTTGAAGAAGAAGCCATTTTTTTATTGGAGGGAAGGTTTTTCTCTCAAATAAAGAAGATAAAGAATGTTAAAGTCGAAGGATGAGTTGAGTAAAAAAAGTCTTAGAAAATTTAGAGTATTATGATGTGTAAATGAAGGAAGTTGATGCGTATAAGTGAAGGTATATGCGGCTAAAGTCGTGGTCATATTACCTCGATAGTCGGCAAAAGTTATGCTAAATCATGGTATGACGCATGTTCGGGGCATTAAATGCAGAGAGACGTGCATCTAATCAACCGTCTGAAATCTTTCAGAGGGATTTAGTAAATTTCCCGCCATAAAGAATGTTTCTACCAACTTCCCGAGACACAAAGTTATGCCACCAGAAAGGAGGGGGACTATCTGTATGGTGTAAAAATATGTTATATTAAATGGTCGCATGAGAAAGTGACATGTGGAGTCGAAGATAGAGGATGGATGAAACCGAAGACAACGATTTTGTCTGTTACCAGAAAGAATGATACTTATAAAGATGAAATAAGTGCCTGTCACCCGGTAGCATTTAATGAAGAATATTCTACATCATTTAGTACACTGTGCGTTGCAAAAGAAAATGGCTTTCATGTCTGCCATTACACATTCTTCAATGACCCTCATAATTGACATCAAAGAGGGGCTTGATCCTAGGACCTTGTTCCCTAGGTGCAACTATAAATAGTGAGCTCTATTATCATTGTAAATGACACAATTTTTTTGGAAAACTGTACGCTACACTCTGTTGAAAGAATATAGTTTTATCTTTTTGTTTCTTGATTTCATTGCTGTTGTGCTTGGAAACCCTGCACCCGGAACTACTATTTTTGCCATTTTATCTCCATTTCAAGGCTAAATATTATATTTTTATCTAATTCATCTTTTATTTCTGGATCAACTTAATTCACTTGTCTATAAACCGCATGTAAATTAGACTTTATCGTTTTATGGGTAAACATTTATGTTTCTCCTTTGGTTTTTGAATTGGATCAACTAGAACATTAGCCTTACAACTTTAGCCGCAATAAATAAGCTTCTATTCATAGTCAATCATTTGCATCCTACACTTCAATTAGGCTCCTCTATAATGGCTATATATATATATATATATATATATATATATAGCCTCTATCACAATTAGCATTCGAGCGTATGAGACTTTATTCCCCTGAGCTGTAAGTTTATCAGTACAAATAGGTTTACCTAAGGAATCTGCTATCCTCCCAAAATTTTCAGCAATCCAGTTTTGAATTGGAAAAGCTAGGGAAGACAACCTAAATGAATAGATTCATTGCTAATCCTGAAATCAGGATCCTATTGTTTTAGAATCAAAGGCCGATTAATAAACGTATATGTGCCACTTTGCAAAATACTGTATAATTTGTCCTCTTCATAGTACAGTCAAATCAAAAGATGAAGCAGTCATCACTGTGTAGAGAGTCCAGAACCAAAGTATTATTTTTTTGGACTCAAAGTATAAAAATAGGTGAAAAAATGGTAACATTTTTATGTATAGCGCATTTACATGCGCTATGCCTTAACGACACGTTTGTCCGTTAAGGTATAGCGCATGTAATATATGCGCTATACCTGATTTTAAAAAGGTAACCAAAGTACAAGTATAACGCATATATTAGATGCGCTATACCTAAAGTTGAAAAGACAGATAGATATGGCGCATCAAATATATGTGCTATACATGTATTAAAAACGGCTAGTCTTCTTTTTCGAGACAAAAGCCCAAAAACGGTCCCCCCTCATTTTTAAAGCTTAAAGCTCCATTAGAGCCCACCCGTCCCTCAGAAATTGTGTCCCGTCATTATTCTAGCGAGCTAATACCCGATCTAAGGTGTTGTCGTGTAGTGAAGCTCTTTTATTGCCTGTTTCGGTGGTCAAATCTTCATTCTTTTTCAATTCAAAAAACTCTAAAAAGAGGTATTCCGAATCACTTTTGTAGTATAACTCATTCATATAATTGTCTAATTAGTTGCTTTTACTGTATTGTATGCTTTTCGTGATCGTTTTTTGATATATTTATTTTTTATTGTTTATCCGGATTAGTTTATTTATGTGCAAAAAATTATGAAAAATTGTATATTATTTTTTGGTTGAATAATTAGTATTATATGTGACTTTATTGTTGTACCTATAATAATATGTAATTTTATTATTGTTTAGTGCCCTTTAATGTTATGTTGTGCCTTCTATTATTATGTAGTATCGTTTAGCTTAGTAGAACTGATAATAAATTTTAATATATTTTAGTTGATGTTGTTTATGGCCATTTAGAGTACTGGAACTTTAGTTCTCTTTGGTATTCTTTAGTGTATAATAAAAACTACGTGCCCTCATCAACTAACCCGGTTAGAGTACTCAATTATGGATCAAATGTTAATCAATTATTAAGTGTTTATTAAATTTATGTGCAAAATTATGAATATTGTATATTATTTTTGATTGAATAATTAGTGTTATATGTGACTTTATTGTTGTACACATAATAATATGTGACTAAATTATTGTTTAGTGCCCTCTAGTGTTATGTTGTGCCTTTTACTGTTATGTAGTTCCGTTTAACCTAGTAGAGCTGATAATAAATTTTAATATATGTTAGTTGATGTTGTTTATGGTCATTTAGTACTGTGAATTTAGTGCTCTTTAGGATTCTTTAGTGTATAATAAAAATTACGCGCCCTCATCAATTAACCCGGTTAGAGTACTCAATTATGGATCAAATGTTTATCAATTATTAAGTATTTATTATATGTATTATTGTACGATGATAAAATATTAGATATGAATCATAAAATAATTAGTTGACAGTACAAAAGAGACGTTGTCGAATTTATATGTAAAATATAAAAGTTAACAAACAAATCGTTACGAATGAAATACATTGAATAGTATTATTTAGTATTAACTTTTTAGTATTTTTATATGAATAATTATTAAAAATATCGTGATTAGTTAAGAAATATAAACATAAACCTACCAAATTTTAGTCAAAAAATCGAAGAAACAAACATATAAATAATTATTTTATTTATCACCCGAAGTGATAATATTGAAAATTTATCGATTAAATATTAATATAAAAAATATCATAATATATTTAAAGATGTTAAATAATTAAAGAGAAAAATACTTTAATTAATATTATTCAATTTACAGACATCGTCATGGATACTTCCCTGTGCATCCTGGACCTGCTGTTTAAGAGCTACTGTTGCCCAGAGTGGTCGTAGGTCTTCATACATATGGGATGGACAATTGCTGTCCTAGACCTTCCACCCTAAATGTATAAACGGTCTTTGGGACTTCATTAGGGACCACTCGTATAGTTACACGCCTTGAGCAGATGGGGTTTTACCAGATTATAGAGATCGGTCAGTTGTAGTTCGACAGGCCTCTGATCACGGATATGATAGAGCGGTGGCGACTGGAGACTCACACATTTCATCTACCTATTGGCGAGGCTACCATCACACTAAAGGACGTAGAGGTTCTATTCAGGTTGCCCGTTGATGGTATGGCTATCAGCTACCCGCAAGATCTTAGGGATTATACGAGAGAGGACTATCTACATATGTTGCAGTGGCTCACAGGTTTCCATCCCGCGGAGCCAACTGCTATGAGTGGTGCCGGTCGATTGTAGTTGTCGCCCGTTAGGCAACATCTGGTGGCACTGTACGCAGAGATTACTGATGACTCACTGGCAGAGGCTATCGAGCAACAGACGAGGCTATTGCTGCTGATGATGTTTGGTGGTATTCTGTTCCTGAACACTCCGGGAAAACTCATTAGCTTGCGATTTCTAGATCATCTGGAGCGGCTAGATGAATTACCTACTTACAACCAGGGTGGATATGTTCTAGCCTACCTTTATAGGCAGTTGTGCCGGTCGTCCATGGGTACCGTGAGAGACGTCGCCAATTTTATACCACCGCTACAGGTGATAACATTATCAATTCTTTCATGATTATAACATAGATAGTACAAAATGACTTAAATTTTACGTCCACAATCAATAATAAGTTTGGGCCTGGGAGCGGTTAGCGCAAATCCAGACACCTCTCCCACCAATAGCTCCAGATGCACCACCTCCAGCATTTCTACAACTTGCTAGGAGGTGGGTAGATAGGCGGGTCTGCGCCCGCGAGGTCGAGGCTCGACATATCTCCCTTATTATAGGGATTTGTTGGATTTACTTGAAGACACTATGTAAATATATGACTAAGTTTGTTTGATAATTCTTGATATGTCTTGCGTTTACTCACGATTCTTGTGTTTAATAAATAGTTCATATGGAGTCCATACAATGACGATCTCAGCGCTCGATTGCCAGATTATTGCTCCCGCAGTCTAGCTATCTGGATGTCTTCAGTCCCACTTATATGTCTCCATATAGTCGAGCAATATAACACCGAGCGAGTCCTTCGATAGTTTGGTCGATGCTACCTTATACTTATTCTGCCTAGTTGGCATTCCACACATTACGAGTGGGATGATAGTAGCAAGATCGACCAGACATACTTGGCCTAGCTAGAGGCTCAAATAGAGGATTGGGATAAGAGATATGTGTCACGACCCCAACTACCGGTCATGATGGTGCCTATCACATTACTAGGCAAGCCGACAGAAACCATAACCACAACCCATTTGCTATTAGCATAAAGCCTTTCTAGCACAAGTTTTAAATGCAGAATTCTTTATAAGTATCATAATGACAGAAATATGCGGAAAATCGAAACAAGAAATACTACACAACCCCAACAATCTGGTGTCACGAGTCTAGAGCCTCTAATACAAGTCTAAACAGCCTACTACATAAATAGTCTAGAAATACGGAAAAGTAATAATATAGAAGGGAGAAATCAGGGATGCGGACGCCATGCAACTACCTCAAAATCTCTAGCAAATGCTGGAAAACAGCTGAAAGCTCACTCGGCCGCCCGGGCACCTGGATCTGCACACAAGGTGCAGGGAGTAACGTGAGCACGTCAACTCAGTAAGTAACTAAAGTAAATAATGGACTGAAAGCAGTGACGAGCAGTTCAAAACATATAACTTTCAAATCAGTTCTGTTATAAATTTATCATTTTCCGTTTAAAACTTTGAAATCAGTTACTTGACAATATATCCAACAGAGGCTTATTTATAAGAAGAGTGAAAACAGTAGAAACATCATAACAAGGCCCTCGGGCAAGGAATCACTTAGAATATGCCCCCTCGGGCAGTCTCTCAGTCACTCGTGACTCAGCTCTCGTCACTAAGTACTCACTCTCAGTACTCGGCTCATCTAATATCATAACAATAGAAATTATAGTAACCGCATCGGCGTGCAGCCCGATCCATATATTTATAGTCGACTACGCTCACTGGGGGTGTGCGGACTCCGGAAGGGCTCCTACAGCCCAAGCGTCATATCACTGCGGCGTGTAACCCGATCAAATATATATATATATATATATATATATATATATATATATATATATATATATCGCTACGACGTGCAGCCCGTTCTACATAGATATCGCTGTGGCGTGCAACCCGATCCATCATGTATATCAAAAATGTCCTTACCATTAGGTTCTCAACTTCTATCAATCATTAGCCTCACAGCCTCTCGGGCACCACAACAGAAATGAGGGAACTCAACACAAATAGTCCTCACAATAGGAGTAGAATGATAAAACTAGGTTAAACATTTAACAGGTGAAAAAGAGACTGAGGATATGTTTTTTTTAACAAGTAAAGTGAGGAAAACAGTCAAAATGCCCCTAAGGGTTCCTACAGGTCGATACAAGGCCCCAAACATGGCATAAAGCCCGTAATACAGTATAAGGATCCAAAATCCAGAATAATATAACATTTCCAAGTAAAATACGCGGTGTAATAGGCTAAGGGACGGACCAAGTCACAATCCCTACCGGTGCACGCCCCCACGCTCGTCACCTAGCGTGTGCATCACCGTATTTATCAAACCAAGTCAAATATCGGGGTTTGTACCCTCAGTTCCAAATTTACAATGGTTACTTACCTCAAACCTGTGATAATACTACTCCGCGATGCCTTTGCCTCTCGAATCGGCCTCCACTCGCGTTGAATCTAGTCAAAATCAGAACGAATACGTCACAATATGCTAAGGGAACAAAGCCCAAGCGAAAATAATCGAAAAATACCAAAAATCCCGAAGTTAGCAAAACCTGAGCCCCGGGCCCACTTCTCGAAACTCAAAAATTTTCACATCCTTAGATTCCTCGTCTTCCCACAAGTTCATACATACCAAGAACACAAAAATTGGAGTTCAAAATTACCCCTCAGATCCTCATTTTAAGCACTCTTAAACTCAAGCCCTAATCCTCCTTTTTAGCCTTTCATTTCCTTTAATTACACCCCTAAATCCATGAACATCTACCATAGAATTGAGTTTTAGGTCCAAAATTCCTTACCTTGACGAAGTCTCTTGATTTCCCTCTTCAGAATCGCTCCAAAATCTCCAAGGTCTAAGGCAACAATGGTGAAATAAACCAAAATCGCGAAATGAAATAACATATAAGGTCTGCCCAGGCCTTTCCTTATTTGCGGTCCAAGATCCGCTTCTGCGGTACCGCATATACGGTCCAACCATCCGCTTCTATGGAAATTCATTAAAGGCCAAAATCGCTTCTGTGGTCCACTAGCCACATCTGCGGCTCCGCAAGTGCGGGCCCCCTACCGCATCTGCGGTTCCAATCTTTCTCTCCCAAAACCGCATCTGCGGTTGTTCACTCGCATGTGCGACACCGCACCTGCGGTCCCCAAACCGCAGGTGCGAAACCACCAGAAGCAACATTATTTTCTGAAATCTCCCAAGTTCAAAATCTTCCCGTTAACCATCCGAAATCACACCGAAGCCCCCGGGACCTCAACCAAAATCACAAACATGACCCAATACCTTATTCAAACTTGTTCCAATCATAAAATCACCTCAAACAACATCAAATTACTCAAAACACATCGAATTCAAGCCTAAGTTTCTAAAATCTTCCGAAATACGTTTTTGATCAAAAACCCAACAGAACCACATCCAAATGACCTGAAATTTTGCACACACGTCCCAAATGGCACAACAAAGCTACTGAAACTCTCGGAATTCCGTTCCAACCCTTATATCAAAATCTCACCTATCAACCGAAAATTGCCAAAATATCAACTTTGCCAATTCAAGCCTAATTATACTCCAGACCTCCAAAACCCATTCCGATCACACTCTTAAGTCATAAATCACCACCCGAAGCTAACCGAACCATCGAAACTCACATCCGAGCCCTCTAACACATAAGTCAACATCCGATTGACTTTTCCAACTTAAACCTTCTTAAAAGAGACTAAGTGTCTCAAACCTTATCAAAAACATTCCGGACTAGATCCGACCAACCTGATACCATAAAACACAGATAACGAAGGATAAAGAAATAGAAATGGGGGAAATAGAGCGGTAACTCAAGAGACGACTGGCCGGGTCGTCACATTCTCCCAACTTAAACAAACTTTCGTCCTCGAACGAGTCAAGAAACATACCCGAAGCCTCAAACAGGTGAGGATATCTGCTCCGCATCTCTCGCTCGCTCTCCCAGGTAGCCTCCTCCACGGGCCGACCTCTCCACTACACCTACGCTGAAGCTATATCCTTTGACCTCAACTTCTGAACCTGACGTCCCAAAATAGCTACTGGCTCCACACCATAAGTCAAATCATCCTCCAACTGAACCGTATTGAAATCCAGAACATGAGACGGATCCCCAATATACTTCCGGAGCATAGAAACATGAAATACTGGATGCACACTCGACAAGCTGGGTGGCAAAGCAAGCTCATAAGACACCTCCCCAATCCTCCGAAGTACCTCAAATGGTCCGATGAACCGCGGACTCAACTTCCCTTTCTTTCCAAATCTCATAACACCCTTCATGGGTGAAACCTTCAACATAACCTTCTCGCCAACCATGTAAGATACATCTCGAACCTTCCTGTCCGCATAACTCTTTTGCCTCGACTGCGCTGTACGAAGCCTCTCTTGAATCACCTTCACTTTCTCCAATGCATCCTGTACCAAATCAGTCCCTAACAGCCTAGCCTCACCGGGCTCGAACCAACCAACTGGAGATCTACACCGTCTCCCATACAAAGCCTCATATGGAGCCATCTGTATACTCGACTGGTAACTGTTGTTATAAGCAAACTCTACGAGCGGTAGAAACTGATCCCATGACCCTCCGAAATCAATAACACAAACACGTAGCATATCCTCCAATATCTGAATAGTGCGCTTGGACTGTCCGTCCGTCTATGGGTGAAAAGTTGTGCTCAACTGCACCTAAGTACCCAACTCTCGCTGGACAGACTTCCAAAACTGGAAAGTAAATTGAGTGCCCCGATCTGAAATGATGGAAACTGGGACACCATGCAACCGAACAATCTCCCGAATATATATCTCTGCCAACTGCTCTGAAGAATAAGTAGTACAGATAGGAATGAAGTGCGCAGACTTGGTCAGCCTATCCACAATCACCCAAATAGCATCGAACTTCTTCAAAGTCCGAGGAAGTCCAACAACAAAGTCCATAGTGACCCTCTCCCACTTCCATTCAGGAATAACCATCTGCTGAAGCAAGCCACCCGGTCTCTGATGCTCATATTTCACCTGCTGACAATTGAGACACCGAGCTACAAACCCCACAATGTCTTTCTTCATTCTTCTCCACCAGTAGTGCTGCCTCAAATCCTGGAACATCTTCGCGGCACCCGGATGAATGGAATACCACGAGCTATGGGCCTCCTCCAATATCAACTCCCGAAGCCCATCCACATTGGGCACACAAATCTGGCCTTGCATCCTCAACACTCCATCATCACTAATGGTCACATCTCTAGCATCATCATGCTGAACTCTGTCCCTAAGGACAAGAAAATGCGGATCATCATACTGGCGCTCTCTGATGCGATCATATAAAGAAGACCGAGAAACTACACAAGCCAACACCTGACTGGGCTCAAAAATATCCAATCTCACGAACCGATTGGCAAATCCTGAACATCAACTGCAAGAGGTCTCTCCCCAACTGGAATATATGCCAAACTCCCCATACTCACTGCCTTTCAGCTCAAAGCATCAGCCACCACATTGGCCTTTCCCGGATGGTACAATATAGTGATATAATAATCTTTGAGCAACTCCAACCATCTACGCTGTCTCAAATTAAGATCCTTTTGCTTGAACAAATGCTGAAGACTGCGATTATCAATGAATATCTCACAAGACATGCCATATAAGTAATGCCTCCAAATCTTCAATGCGTGAACTATGGCAGCCAACTCCAAATCATGAACGGGGTAGTTCTTCTCGTGGGGCTTCAACTGACGAGAAGCATATGCAATAACTCTACCTTCCTGCATCAACA